TTTTTTTTTTTTTTTTTTTTTTTTTCTTCTGTGTTTTGGTGCTTGGTGGAGCGAACTCACGCCCCTAGCCAGCCTTCTCAGCAACTCGTGCCAAGAGTATTCGTTCACCAGCACCGCCCCTTTAAGAGATTTCGACTGCAGACATTTTTTAACTTTTTAAAGGTAAGGGGGTGGGTGGGGGGAGAGGCGGGAAGTAGGAGGAAGGGGTGGCGTTGTACCCTCCTGATTTAACCCTCTAGGGTCAGGAAGAGGAGGAAGGGATCCAAGCAGTACTGTTTTAAGTTTCAGTCCGAGGTTGGGATGTCTTGTTTTTACTTCCCTCCCTGCAAGGCTCTGGGGAAGGCCCATCTAGCTCCAGCCCTGACAGGAAAGCCTAGCGCCAGCCCTGGACACAGTGGACTAAGAGGTCCACACTAGCCTGTGCCAGTTGGTCCTGACAGCATCAGGTATTTTGCCCACTCTGGGCCCTTCCCTCTGGGTTGAAGTAGCAGAGCAAGGGTGTTAATTAAGTAGCAAAGGGGTCCTGATTTCCTGCAGCAACTGATTCCTGCCAAAGCACAGAATGCAAAGGGAGACTCCGTAGACATAAGTTGAGACCTCTGCAATGCGACGGTCAGCCATCCAGAAGCATCCTCTGGCCTCCATAGGCCAAAGAGTGGCCAGAAGTAGTACACAGAGTAACCAGGTAAAAGAGCTTATCTGTGTGTAGGGGCATCGGGGTGCAGGCTGAGCATGGCATGGTTCTGCCTGCAGCCAAAGTGAAAGTGTCTTGGGGGCTTCAATTTATGCTGACTTAGGCCAAGTCAAAGCAACCTGGTCTGTGTTTGGATAGTCTGGACAGTGCTGTGCCCATATGAGCCACTCTACTCCAATGCACAAGCAGAGCTGCCCCTCCTCAAGGTCAACCTTGGACTTACCCTTGCCATGGGGAAGGGAGCCTTTATGGTGCTGGAGAGGAACAGAATGACACAGTTGGGTTTTCAAACTCAACGTGAAGTCAGCCAGAGTCTACCCACAAGTATCCCCCCCCTAACCCCCCAAAGACACAAGAACAGCCCAGAACTTGCATGGTACACCACCTGTCCTGGCTCAAGCCTGGATCCATAGCACCTCTCAGCTCCAATCTTAGGTCTCAACCAAAGCCAGGCCCAGTTTGTGCAGTCAGACCATTGGGCCCCACTTTTGGCTTCTTTCTGGAACAAAATGGGCCTTCTACTTGGCAGATGAAGAGAATGACTTTATGCAGTATGGGTATGCATGAGTGTCCCAGGGCCTCCTGATATCAAACAGGTAAAACTCTACAATGCAGATCAAAGGTTTTCCCTAAGGGTGGTCTCAAAATCCACAAACACTGAAATGGAACCTGTTTCCCTTTCCCTCCCCCTTGATAGGATTAAGGAATCTGTAAAGGGCTGGAGTAGATGACTTTCAACTGAGGTTTCCTGAGGAGCTTCTACTAAACTAAGCAACTAGGAAAGCCAGAGGTTAGGTTGGGCTAGACTGGGAAGTGCCACGAAGACCTCTTTCTAGAAATAGGACTGCATAAAATGAGGCCAAAGGAGAAAGAAAACCCAAGGCATATTATTTAAAGATGATTTCAAAAATGAGTAAGTTATATACTGAAGTATTAGATGTGAGTCTGATAGATGTTGGTCCCTAAGGCCTACTTCCTTCAGTTCCTGAAAATTTCTCACACACCTAGATCCTTTAAAATATGTGTGTGTTTCTATGTGCAGGTGTGTGGTATGGTATAAGTTCCAGTAGAAATTATTATAATTTTAAAATGTACATTGAGCACCTCTCCTAGAGATGGTGACAGCCTGGTGAGCAAAGTTTTTAATCTGTATCTTTATATCTTCAGACCCAAGCACTCAGTAGGCATTCAATAAATGTCTGTGAAATAAATTAATCGTAAATCAAATCATGCTCAGCACACTAAAATAAAATACTGCTCTCAAGAAGAATGTGAAAAATAAATAAATAAATACTATTTGTCACAGTAAACTTTGTCTTAGGCTGCTGCTCAGTAATTTGTTTTCCCAGTTATGAACATTTTCCTGGTCATCTCCTCCAGGAAATAGTTATCTTGCAAATTCAGAAGCCATTAGTTCATTTGCTATATTCAGAATTAAAACTAATGAGATATTTTTACAAGGAGACAAATTTTCTAAGGGCTTAAAGAATCCCTGGTTTACAAATTAATGTAATGTACTTTTAGAAGCCACGTTAACTGGGACCAGAGGAAGACCACTTGAATGAAATAAATCACTTCAGCCCTGGCTAGATGGCTCAGTTGGTTGGAGTGTCCTCCCCTACACCAAAAGGTTACGGGTTTGATTCCCAGTCAGGGCACAGGCTTAGGTTTCGGGTTCAATCCCCACTTGGGGTATGTAGGGGAAGCAACCAATCGATGTTTCTCTCTCACATCAATGTTTCTCTTTCTCTCTCTCTTTTTCTCTCACTTCCTCGCTCTCAAAAATCAATTTAAACAACATATCTTTCGGTGAGGATTAAAAAAGAAAAAAGAAAACATCACTTCACCCACTAGATCTCTATAAGCAATGTTCCTTTAAAAAATACCTACTCTTGTAACTAAGGATGAACTTGTGTATAATGAGAATCTGCTTAATCATTAATTTTAACCACAATTTTTGTTTACTGACCCAACTATGCTGTAATTGTTTGGTGGCCTAATTACTTTAACCAGCAGTCAATGTTTTCATCAGAACCTGTATGTGCAATAAAAATAAAAACCAACAAAACAAAAGTGCTTTTTTCTTTTTAAATATCTTTATTGATTTCAGAGAGAGGAAAGGAGAGGGAGAGAGAGAGAGAGATCAATGGGAGAGTCATTGATCAGCTGCAGCCCGCAACCCGTGCATGTGCCCTGACGGGGAATCGAACCCCAATTGCCTGGATCCTAGGTCGACGCTCAACCGCTGAGCCATGCCCCGCCGGGCAGTGCTTTTTTTCTTAATTCCTGATTAAAACCATCTCTCTAGTGTAGCCACTGAAATTCTATAGTCATGTCCAGTCTCAGGAAATCAAGGCAAAGAAAACAATTCAATAACATCTAAGGAGTTCCAGAGAGTCCTCGTTGACTCCGAGATGACCTGATTGTTTGATTCTTTGGTTTAGTTTGGGTATAGATTTGCACAGGGCTACTCCTTCCAAATAGCCCCCACGCCCCATATCATGGTTTTCATCTTGCGTCCTGTCTAACCCTAAATTATATGTTGTAAGTAACTCATTATTAATTTGTTTATTAGACTGATATTTCTACCCTACCTTCTGTGTGCTGTTGGGGAACAACAATCTGCATCTCTGCTCTGTCTTAGATTGTAATTTCCTAGGGGACAAAAACTGGGTCTCTGTATAAAATATTAATTACTGGGATCTAGATACATTCAAGTCTCCTTGGAATGCTCTGCCTGGTGTTACTGAATGGTCCTTACAGATAAATTTCTTTGATATCTAGGAGTCTAGGTTCCCAGACCTGTAAGAAATCTTAAAGATTAACTGGTTCAGTGGTTTCTAGACTATGGGATTTCAAAATAAATATTAGTAAGTGGGGGAAAGCTGACATATTTGCCAACTTTTTATTTTGTCTAGTAAGGACCTTAAAAAAATCAACTACTTATCACTATTACTTCCCAAAAGAAAAGAACATTTTTACAGCCAAAAAAAAGCTGAAATTATATGTGAAAATAAAGAGCAAGTGTTTATACTGAATAAATTTAGCTTCATGAAAAATCATTATATTTTTATCATTTCACTTCAGACCAGTGGAAATATGCCAGTGACTAACATGAGTACTAGGACTGGTGATTGGGACAAATGATATATCCTGTGTGTATGGCCAAATTCTACTTTTTAGTCTATAGTGTAGCTGCAATATGTGCATACTTTTTAATGATCGTCATCTTCACTACAATAATTTCTTTCTACCTTTCCTATGCTTTTTTTTACATTTAGCCTGTCACAAACTCATTGACTCTATATGTCACCTCCTTTTCCTTCTATTAAATATTCATGTCCATGATGACTACTATTTATTGAGATCTTATGGTCCATGCATGGTGGTCAGGACTATACCAATGTTATCTTTAATCTCGAATAACTCTGAGAGGTAGATAGAGTTCATTATTATACCTAGTTTACATATAAGAAAATTGAGACTCAAAGGTATTAAGCAACTTTCTCATGGTACACAATAAGTGGCAGCAAGGATGGAAACCCAGGGACGCCTGACTCCAAAACCTATGTCTATGTTCTTAACCACCACACTCCACTATAAGTGGCTAAAATAATGCATGCCCTCAAACAACTTGTCTATGTATAATGGGAAAAAAACTTTAACTAGGAGTTGGAAGACCCGAGTTTGACAGATTCCAGCTTTGTGACCTTGGATAAATTTTTAAACTGTTCTAAGCCTCAGCTGCCTACTCTGTAAAATTAATATGATATCCTAGAGTAAAATAAGAATTAAATAAGGTTATTATGGAGAAAGTACTTTATAAATTCTAAAATATTATGCAGATTGTGCTATTTCATGTTATTTCTAATTCCCTCTCTACCGCACTTGTCACAAATACATCCTATCAATTGATAGAGACAAGAATTAAATTATATACAAATAACTTTGTGATAATCTTGAAACAAAAGGTCAACTCTAATATGCTATCAATAAATACAGTAATAAAATATAATAAAAGTACATACCACATATTTTAACCATGTAGGCTCTTCTGCCTATAATTAGCATCTGAAAAAAGAAGTAGGTTTTACATGCCTCCTTCAATTTCCCACTAGGAAAGGGGAGACAGAGTGGGGAAAGGACAGTGCTAAGGAATAAGAAAGACTGTGTCTCTGTCCTGCTAAGAGGAGCAAGGAATGGTGACACTTTCTCCATATGGAAAGTTGAAGGGGAAAGAAATTTCTAACTCTACAATTGTTCTACCTCATTATATAAGAAAATTCTAGCTGAATGGTTTTTTGTTCCCACTGTTGCCATCAAGTAGTAAACACATGTGGGGAAGATCATAACCATATAAATGTAGTTGACTCTCTTCAGTTCAGTTTGAAATCCCTTAGCATGTCTGAGGGCAGGTATGACAGTTATTCTGGGAACTGCTATAGGTGGAAAACCAAGTTACAGTAAAAAAAGTACTCGTGTCCTTACATTCGTTGATAAGTCACTTTACCATTCTAGCCCATTTTGCCTCTTGTACATTCAGGTAAGTCCTGAAAAGCATCATGTTATACTGCAAATTGCATGGGTTTTGGAGTTCAATAGACTTTGATTAAAACCTAGTTCACAATCTACTATTTGCTCATGTGACCTTTGTTGAACAAATCATTTATTCTTGCTGAGCCCAATTTTCCCATCTGTAAAATAGGCATAAGTATACTTCCCTCCACACATGTTCTGAGAATTAAGTGAGGTAATGTCTCTAGTTCCTGGCACATAGTTACTACTCAACTGTCATTTTCACTATTGGATTTCACAATGGAAATAAATGTAACTTGCATATATAAGGCAGGAAGAAGTTTATACACCTGAAACTTAAAGTTTTTGAAATAGTCTAATAATAACCTATACCTACATATATGATTCCATTTTGTGCTCATAGCATATAGATCAGCAATTTTCAACCACTGTGCCACAAGAATTTTTAAAACATGCAATACTTAACTATTTAGTCAGAGGCACTGACCTCTTTTCCCTTAGATTGTCTGTCAAATTTAAAAAATGACAACAGCCAACACAACAATAGCTGTCCAGTGTGAATGAATCAAAATTATACCTATTTTTTTCAGATAGACAAAAAATGTATTTTTTGGTGTGCCGCAGAATTTTAGTAATTAGTTTATGTGCCATAAGATGAACAGGGCTGAAAATTGCTGATGTAGACAGGGCAAACTTTATCCTCTAATTCAGGTAAGGAAATCAAGAGTCAAAAAGTGCAAAATGCTACTTCTTGAAGAACCTGAAACTAAAGCCAGCTCTGCTAACTGAAAACTAGACAGACTGCTTTTGGTATGTTTGTTATTGAAAATACTTGAGAACTTTTACAGATAAAAGTTATATGTATGTATGTTATATGTCCCAGGATAAAAATTCAGATTGACTTTCACATGTTCTACAGCTTCATTAACTATAAATCATTTATACCTCCAAATAACTGAAAGTTGTTTATAGTTTCCTCTATACCACCTACCTTATCAGATAATCCTAAACCTTAATTAATGTTAAAGATAATTTCTAAGAAAGTGAAATATATAAATCATATATATTTATCTCAATATACTTATTTTAGTCTCAACATTGAGAAATTAGACCTGTAATAAAACATTTGCCTGGAACACAAGTGTGTTTTTTTTTACCTCCAAAAAATGACTAGCTGTGATTGTATTTTCTTTTGTTCCCTAGGCTAATGGTACACTTTGACCTTTTTAAATACAACTAATGTTCTCAGTTCATAATAATAGGAGTTGAACAAATAAGGACAAAAAAAGCCTACCACAGGTTCAGGCCACTCCTCAATAATCAAAATCAGCTGATAGACTCTACATGTACATACTTATTCAACTGAGTATTTTACCTCTGCCTGAATTAACATCTAGATCCCTAATTCTTTGGAGTAGTTTTGTCCCCACATAAGCAGATCCAAGTCCTTCCTTAGTTCAATGGCCATTGTGCCAAACTTTACCAGCCTTAATTCTCAACAGATTTTTCAATTTTCTTTTGGTAACCTAGAGACAATGATATGCTGCAACTTTTAGAAAGTATGTTTCATTTTCATGAGACACTTAAATTTCAAATCTCTTTCTTGATTTTTCTGAAGCCCAGTCAGTATAATACTGTGTTTAAATACTTTAAATTTTTTTTTTTCCCCTTTCAGGAAGAAATAAAAATAGTTTGAAAGTCTGGGTCAGTGATTCTTAGCCCTGGGGGCACATTAAAATCACCTGAGGAGCTTTTTTAAATAATCATGCCCAGGACCATCCCCCAGATATTCTGATAATTGATTTGGAGTGGGGCCTCAGCATGTCTTAGATCCCATGCTATACATCTCTATTTGGTTTCTAGTTTCAGAGAGCAAATTTAGATGACACAGGATACCATGTTATCTGAATCTGTTTAATTCCTAGGTTTCAGGTAATGAGGCAGAGTTCAAATACTAAGGGATACCTCAAAAAAATTATTGGAATCTATTATGTTCCTAAGTTCAGACAATGAAAGTTCAGATAGTGAGGAACCATCCTCAAAGGGGGGAAAATTATGCAAGTAAATATAACCTACAACCTATTAGCTTTAATGGATTCTCAACTGATTATTCCTTCATTCAAGAAATGTTTTCACTGTACACCATCTGATTGGCAAAATTAAATATTTGATAACACTAATTGTGAATATGGACAGATGGTAAACTTTCTGCATGCTGATGGGAGTGTAAACTAGTTGGGCTGTTCTGGAAAGTGATCTGGCAATATTTAGTGAGATTATGTGTATTCCCTAAGACCCAGAAATTCCACTATGGGCATAAACTCCCAAGCAATTCACAAAAGGCTCATAAAAGGACTTAAATGAGGATAATCAGTAAAGCACTGATTTTAAAACTGAGGAATTGGAGGCACCTAGCTGTCCATCACAAGGGATATGGACTGGTAAAATGAGGAAGGGAGCAGTTAGAAGCAATAAACTAAATGTACATAAAATGACATGGATAACCTTTTAAATATCTGAGAAACATGAAAACAAAATGA